GTATTTCTAGGTAGTGCATAATAATTATCTTTGAATGTTGACCTGCTGAGTTATTCATAACTGTTTTTATTTTCTTTTTTATTGTGAAAATACTGTACAGAGGGGGTACAATTACATGGGCAAGATAATGAGTACATTTCTTATCAAGCATTGTAGCCTCCTCCTTTGTTTCCCCTTCCCATCCCTTCCCATCCTCCTCCCCACCCCCCATGAAAGTTGTAAAGTTCATTTTTGACATAACGACTTGTACATCTTATTGTTGCAATGGGTCCACCTGTATCCCTATTTAAAGGATTTGTTTTTCCCCTTCCCCTCCACAGTGAAAGCAGGGGTTATACTGTGGGGAGGGACATACAAGCAACAAAGAAATAATCTTATGAATGTGTTAGAAACAATCACATGAAAGAAAAAAAAACATTTGAATACATATCTTAGGGTTCATTTCCCTGACATCACCTTATCTGACCTTTTCTGCTTGACTCAGATATATACTAGATATTGCAAATAAGGGAAACCATGTGACCTATGTTTCTTTAGGCCTGGCTTATTACTTCACTTAATATAATTTTTTCCTGAGTTTCTGAGATCTGATTATTTCTTTTTGTAAATTTGTCTATCTCTGATAACTTTCTCGCTCATATCCAGCATTATCTTCTGAATTCAACTATTTATCTTATTTTAAAAATAATTTATTTGAGTTGGTGGCGGTAGCACACACCACCTATTCTGAGGAGGATCTGAGGATCACAGTTTGAAGCCAGCTCAGGCAGGAGACTCTTATCTCCAATTAACCACCAAAAAGCTAGAAGTAGAGCTGTGGTTCGATTGGTAGAATGCTAGCTTTGAGAAAAACAGCTCAGGGACAGTGCTTAGGCCCTGACTTGAAGTCCCAGGACCAGCACAAACATAAAATTAATTTATTTGAATTCTTTATCAGGCTTTTTGTCCACTTCAGTGTCTTTGTAACCTTTTACTGAAGAGTTATGATATTTAGGAAGCACTATAATAATGGTTTCCTCATATTTCTTGTGCTCCTATGTCGAGATTTGATCATCTGGAATCTATATTTCTTATGTGATGGCCTTTATAGTAAGTGGATTTCTCCTGAAGATGTGTCTTGGAATATTGGTTTGTTTTCCATGTTGAGTATGTTTCACTGTATAATCCCCTTGTGGGTTCTTTGCCTGTGATAAATGAGATCTCGACACAGCATACTGTGCTGTTGTTGAAGTGGCCCAGTGTTGTTGTGGACACGGTGTTTCACAGTAGTGTGAGGTAGACTGCAGAGCATGTGGAGTACACCTTGAGTAACTACTACACATACAGTGGGAGTGGTGGCTTCTGCGGGGTCAGAACTTCTTCCAGCACTGTTGAGACCAGCCTTTCACCAGTAATGGTTCCATCACTGGTCAGGAGAGGCCTGGGCACTTGTCCTGTGAGCAGACGGTGGCGGTGGCGTGGGCCAGGTGCTGCCCAGCAGGAGTGGGGTAGGAATCAGCACCCGCAGTGTAGTGCTCCCTCCTAGTCTTCTCAGCAGCATGTGCTCGGACATCATTGGGCTGGAGGAGGGAGGCCCTTGAGAGAAGCAAGTGTGAGAACAAGGCCGGGTCTGGGTGACGTTTCTCTCTGGACCTTCTTAGGCATTTATGATGCAGACTGAAGAAAATATGGGAAAGTCTCAATTACCCACGGCCTTGTTGGCAGGCATGAGCATATAGCACTGAAATTGCAACTGTCTTTTATTTTTATTTTTTCTTTATGATTTGATAATATTTCATAAGTAAGAGGCAAGTAAGTTCACAAGTTAAGAACAGCGCTTTGACAACTGATTTGAGAAGAAAGTATTTAAAATTCTTTGATAAACCTCTTGGACCATGGAAATTTCTGCTATTGTTTTCTGGCAGTTCTTTTCAATGTATTCTGTACCTTGAATACTTATATAGTTTTAACTGTCATGTTGTTAAATTATACCCACATCATGATTTCCAAAAGCCTGTGCTCTTCTTTTTGCTGTCTTGGATGCCCAATTTAAATGGCTACAGATGTGTTTCAGACAAATACCTAAAAATGTATTTCTAGTATGAAAAACTGGTGTCTTATTAGATGGTTGGTAAACGTATTTATTTAAGTTCATGACTACAAAGCCCAGCCTGTATTGTAATTCTTGTGCACCATCATCCAAAATATCTTTCTAGCACTGTTTAATATATTTTATATTGGCTTAACTTTTTTCTGTCTTTTGTACACATAGGAACTTTCAAAAAGCCTTGAGCTGAGTACGAACAGTTTTCAACGTCAGCTGCTTGCTGAGAGGAAAAGGGCATATGCGGCTCACGATGAAAACAAAGTTCTACAAAAGGAGCTGCAAAGGCTGCACCACAAACTGAAGGTAAACTTTTGATGAATTGCATAACTTTCCCACCGTGTAAGTTACACAGAAATCCAGTATTCTAAAACGCTATTCACATTTGAAAAGTTTATATAATACAATTTTCAGAATTTTAATGTTATCTTTGGTACTTAGAAGAAAAGATTTGTTAATATAATCACTATTACCAAGTAAAATATTATGTAGCAATAAGACAAATGTAAGGGAAAATTCTGCAGGAAATTATAGGAACTATCTGGGGGCAGTGGCTCATACCTATAATCCTAGCTGCTTAGGAGGCTGAGATCCGAGGACTATGGTTCAAAACCAGCTTCTGTGGGAAAGTCCATAAAATTTTCATCTTATTCTTATTTCTTATATCTTAGTCTTATTTCCAGCAAATAGCTAGAAGCAGAAGTGTGGCTGAAATGATAGTGCACTAGGGTTGAGCAAAAGAGTTCAGAGACACACTCAGGCCCAAGCACTAGCAAACAAATAAGCAGAAAAAAACCTCAAAGAAACTGGAGTTTATATTGGATGAATGAATAATCTGATGTTCTTCCTCAAATGTGATTATTTTTAAAGTTGTTTTAAGAATGTCCTTCATTTTCATTGTTGCTAGAGAAAGTATTCATATCAGCTAATTATGTTAAGGCAGGTATTCTTAATTTTATCTAGAGGTCATTGATGGTTGAAATTTCATACAGAATTAATACAAAGTTATGCACTACTTTATGTCGTTTTCTTTTTGGCAGAATGGGATTTTGAACTCAGGGTCATGTGCTTTCTAGACAAGCACATTTTTCTCTGTTTTGCAGGTCTTGGGGCTGTCCTTGAGACTCAGTGCTCAAGGCTAGGACTCTGCTTTTTCTGAGTAGTTTATTGGAGATAAAAGTCTCATGGGGACTTTTTCTGCCTGGGCTGGCTTCAAAACTGTGATCCTCAGATCTCAGTCTCCTGAATAACTAGGATTACAGGCCTGAGCCACTGGTATCTGGCTAGGCAAACACTTTAATACTTGAATCACACCTCAGCTTCTTGTTTTAAACATTTTAGACAGGGGCTGCGAAGGTGGCTCAATGCTTGCCTTGCATGCATGAGGCCCTAGGTTCGATTACCCAGCACCACATAAGCAAAAAGAAAAAAAGCCAGAAGTGGCGCTGTGGCTCAAGTGGTAGAGCGCTAGCCTTGAGCTGAATTGCTGAAGGACAGCGCCCAGGCCCAGAGTTCAGGCCCCACGACCAGACCCCCCAAAAAAAATTTAAAGAAAAAAACTTTTTAGACAGAGTCTCACACTTTTGCTTTTAACCATTTTCTTCATCCTCCCATCTAGTTGCGATTATAGACATGAGATAGGGTCTAGCCAACTATGATGCCCCACAAACTATAATCCTCTACCTCCTCAGTAGCTGGGATTACAGATATATGCCACTATACCTGGCCAATGTCTTCCATAGATTTCTTTCTGTTAATCCAGTTCTCAGAAAAAGCCATAACCGGGGCTGGGAAGGTGGCTCAGTGGTAGAGTGCTTGCCTTGCATGCAGGAGGCCCTGGGTTCAATTCCTCACCACCACATAAGCAAAATGAAAAAAAGCCAGAAGTGGTGTTGTGGCTCAAGTGGGAGAGCGCTAGCCTTGAGCTGAAGAGCTGAGGGACAGCACCCAAGCCCAGAGTTCAGGCCCCATGACCGGACCCCCCCCCAAAAAAAAGAAAAAAAAAGAAAAAGCCATAACCCCCAAATGCTAATGTACACCAATGTTTGATGGCATGGCCATTTTCCTTGGGGGTGAGGTGTATGTAGAACTATGGTTTGGCCTGAGACTTGTTAGGCATACTTGTTTAAGTATCTATCACTTTTTGCTTTAGGTATTTTTCCAGTAAGGGTCTCAGTTTTGTGCCTGAAGCCAGCCTCAGACTATGGTCCAGCTATGCCTTCTCTTGTAGCTGGCTGGAATCAGACGTGACTCACCTCACCCAACCTCTCATTTTTAAATCCTCAATCACTAAGAACTCTCATTAAAACTAACTCATTCTTTGTCTCTAAGCCTGGGTGATAGTGACAGAGTTCCTAGCTTTATCAGATAGGAGTGGGGAAAACTAAAATCCATTTTATTCTTATTTGCTCTCTCTCCTCTAAACACCCCTCCATCCCCCCTCGCCAAAATGGCAGGACTTGTAGCTTTTCTTTAGTGGGAAGTCATTGCTCTCTCCTAACCCAAGGGTACTGGAGATATTTCTTTCTGTGGTTTAGTAGTTACATAGGGAAGTTGAACTCAATATATTTCCATTTGGCAAGGAAGTTGTCAGTCAGTTGACTGAGTGAAGGTCATTTATTTTAAGCCAAGATTTTACTTGCTTTCATTGTATTGGATTTATTTTTAGGAAAAGGAGACAGAATTGGATATAAAAAATATATATTCTAATCGACCACCCAAGTCCTCTCCAAAGAAAGAAAAAGAACTTGTTCCAAGAAAGAATGGTATGGTAGCTACTATTATTAAAACACCAATATTATAACTATAGTATAGTTTTTGTTATAACTATTATAACTATTATTTATTAATATTTCGAAGTAGAATGCAGAATCTCATAGAAATATATAAATTACTTTTTTAATTTTAGTTTTCATAATTTTTAGATGTTTTTCAATTTTTGTAAGTTTTAACACATGAGGAAAGGTTACTAGAACCATGTTTTATAAAACTTAAAAAAATTGCTTACTATGATTTTGAAAACCCCTATGAAAATATATAAACATACTCAGTAGAGTGAAGGATGTAATGAACTTCCATTTATACATTACCTAGATTTAATAGATATTCTTTTGCCAATTTTATCTATTTTTCTTTGTTTTGGTAGTATGTTTTTGAGGAAACCGAGTGTATTATTTCATTCATCAATATTTTATATTATGCAGATAGTCTTGCTCTATTTTTAGCACAGTACAATCCTTCTAGGAATTGCACAATTTTTAAACATAAACTTTGTAAAAGTTTAGGGCCATTTACAGGAAGAATTGCTCCCAAATCATATACCTGTTAGTAAATCCCAGACACAAAAATGAGTGTTTACTGAGCTGAGTCAAATGTCTGTCATCTCATTTAGATGATAAGTATATGCCAGTTGAATAAATGTTAGAAGTGTTGAATGAGATTAGAAAACTTCTTTTTCAATTTTCACGGTAGCCGCATGCCAGAGTGATTTTACAGACCTGTGTACGAAGGGAGTACAAACCAGTGAAGATTTTGGACAGGAAGAATTTTCCATTATAACACAGACAATTATGAATTACAAAAGCAAAGAGGAGAAATCAGAACATCTTTCTTTGGTGAGTGCAGCAGTATGACTTCTACCCAACTCTAGGTTTAAAGTTATTCCTAAAAATGGTCTCAGACTTGGTATAGTTTCAGCAGTGGAGGTAGTGCTTTATCTTTGTGAATATGCAGATATCCTGTGTATTTTATTAAATTCTTTGGGATTTACTCTTTTGGCTCATGTTGCATTTTTCAGATGCTTCAGAGACTGGTTATGCTTTCTACTAGGCTGGAGGTAAAAGACAGGAATTGCTTAAAAGGTTACCTTTTATTCAGCTAGACAAATCTTAGATATTGCTCAAAGTTTTATGTTTAATAGGAAACTCTGATCATTTTCAAATCATTTTTTAAGAATTTGCCCAGATTTAGATTTTTGGCCTTCTACATAGGAAAAATTTTATTGATTAAATAAATGCTAAATTTTGTAGATTAAATGAATGCTAATCTGAATTTGTACCATTTCAAGTAGAGTAAAACTCAGAGGGGTGTGTATTGTACCTTTATTGAAAAGAGTTTCAATACCATGTCACTGTAAGCTCATGTTATCTAAAGAGGGTTTTATCTTTAATATTTACAGTTTAAATTTCCAAAGAAAACATTTCATTTCAAGGGCCTAATGCATCTCATATATATATATATATATATATATATGTATATATATATATATATATGTACATAAATATATGTATATGTATATATACATATATATATTTATGTGTCAGTCCTGGGGCTTTGAACTCAGGGCTTTGATTCTGTCCCTGATCATTTTTGTTCAAGGGTAGTACTCTGCTACTTGAGCCATGGCTCTACGTCTAACTCTATTTTTGGTAATTAATTGGAGAAGAGTTGTGCAGGCTTTCCTGTCTGGGCTGGCTTTGAACCATGATCCTCAGATCTGAGCCTACTGAGTATTAGGATTATAGGCATGAACCACTGGGCATCCAGCTTAATATTTTTATACCTTACAAGTGTCTCAATGACCATCCCATGGTATAAAAAGAAACAATTTGGTTTTTTTTTATTATTTAATTTCTGTTTTATAATTTAGATATATTAGTTCTATCTTCTGTGTTTCTGCCTGTACTGTTATTAAAACTTAATCATCAGGTGGGTACAGAGGCTCATGCCTATTAGGAGGATGAAATCTGAGGATCATGAAGTCAGCCTGCGGGACAAATCTGTGAGACTCTTATCTACAATTAAACAGCAAAAACCCAGAATTAGATGTGTGGTTCAAGTTGTATTGTACCAGACTTGAGCAGAAAAAGCTAAGTGACAGCATCTGAGCCCTGAGTTCAAGCCCCAGTACCAGCGCACATGCACGCACGCGCACACACACACACACACACACACACACACACACACACACACACACAATGTAAAACAAACCAATCATGCTGATTTGTGTCTTTGAAAGGATATCATGTAGAATAACAGAGAGTAATTCTTAACTCTAAAAGGCTAAAAATATTTGGGTTTTGTACTAGAAGATTCAGAGCCAGCACCCTGGTAGAAAGAGTGTGGTCTTAGAGTTGGCTCTGCTTTTTCATTGAATCCAGGTGCTAACATTCAGTGGTGTTAATTTTTGCAGCCTCAATTTCCTCATGTGCAATATAAAGGGTGGTAAGTAACCTTGATGTTTCTAAAGCTCTTCAGAAACCTGCATGGAAAAAGTCCTCAGCCAGTGGCAGCCCAGAGTCCAGTTCATGCTGCAATTAGAAAGACACCCAATATGGGGGCTAAGAAAAGAGAAGCCGCTTCTTCTTCTTGTAGTGGATAAAATCAGTGTGTAGTCCAGGGCTGGTGAGCTGTTTTGCTGATCTTCCATTTGGGACTGTAGCCCTCATGTTTGTGGTTGGAGTGGTCTCATCTCCCAGTGAACAAAGGGAATGAGGAAGCAGCGGGCAAGCTGTGCTTAGAAATGTGATCTGGAGTTGCACCTGCACTTCCACCCACCTCACCCTGGTCCTGTCTAGCTGCAGGGGTGGCCGACAGTGCCCTGCTTAACACACAGGGGACTGTTTCTAAAAGGAAGAAAATGAAAACGGATACCAGGGGACAATTACAGAGTATCCAGTCTTTACTAACAATCCATGCTTTATTTTTATTAAGGAAAATCACACACAGAGATATTTGCAAGGAGCCATAATAAGGGTAAAATTGCTATTCCTTCTGGAATGTTAAGTATGTAGCATTCTTACTGATTTAAATATTATAGACTTGAACAGCTCAGTTCAGCTGTCACCAGCTGTGTTACATGTTTCTTCAGCTTCTCTTCTTCAGCCATTTCTAGTTAACTTGATTAATAACCAGATTTGGGTTTTTTGCCTAAAGAAACAGCTCTTCTGCAACTTATCTTCAGAATTTTGTGTAGGTTGTTGGTTTTATTCCACTATTGTGGTTCTGATGTAGTTCATAAATGCTTAAATTTTTAGCTAGAAGCGCAATTTGCAGCAGCAGAACATGTGATTCATTGCTTTATTCACTGAAAATTGGCTTTAATTTCTAATTTGATATTTCCTCTTCCCCTATGTGTGGATTTGCATTTAAAAATTCACCATAGAATCTGGAGTCCCCAGAGCAAGAGGAACACAAGGAACCCACCGTTCTGCCTTCACCGGTAGAGGAAGAAGAGTCTGGTGAAGATCAAGGAGAGCCCATCGTAGAGCAGGAGGAGGCAAAGCTGGAGAGTGGTACGTAATAGAGTTGGTTTACACGGGCTGTGAGTCCCTGGATAAAGGAAGGGTCAGGACCCCTTGATGTCTTCCCACTAAACTGTAAATTGTTTGTGCAGAACAAGAAAAGGCAAGTGCAGTTGTAGGAAGCAGTGTATCAAGAGTCACGAACATTTGAACAAGGTTTTTAAGGAAAGAAGAAAAATTACAAGTTCAAGTGGATAAATTCCACAAAGACACAACTTAGATAAAAAGGAAAAACATGCTTTGGTTTTAAGTAAAACTTGAAGAAATAATTGGAGGACGGCTGCTGTTTGGAGCTTGGCCTTGAAGCTGTAGTCCACAGACCAGCTTAAGCTGAAACATCAAAGAGTTACATTGTCCTGTATACATTTATATCATTGTTCTTTGATTTTACCTTATAAACTAAGTCTTTAATATGCTCAGAGTTAATGTAAATTCAGTGAGCCAATTCACAGAGTTTGTAGATAATGGAAATGAAGTTCAGGACTCAGTTCATTTCTGTCTGGATAAAATGCCTGATAGGCATGAGCAAAGGATCCCAGACTCTACGCTGTATTAGTTACCCAGGGAGTAGAGTAAGACTGTTAGTTATCATGTGTATAATTAATGTATATAGTATGAAGATATAATGTTTGTAGTATAGAACTATGCTACATCCAGCTCAAAGAAAAATCTCTTGTTGTTATTTGTTTCTTTTTGTGGGTCATGAGACTTGAACTCTGGGCCTGGGCGTAGTCCCTGAGCTCTTCAGCTCAATGCAAGCACTCTACTACTTGAACCACAATACCACTTCCAGTTTTCTGGTGGTTTATTGAAGATAAGAGTTTCATGGGGCTAGGAAGGTGGCTCAGTGGTAGAGCGTTTGCCTTGCATGCATAAGGCCCTGGGTTCGATTCCTCAGCACCACATAAGCAGGGGAAAAAAAGCCAGAAGTGGTGCTAATCCTCAAGTGATAGCATGCTAGCTTTGAGCTGAAGAGCTGAGGGACAGCACCCAGGCCCGGAGTTCAGGCCCCACAGCCAGACCCCCCCCCAAAAAAAGAGTCTCATGGACTTTTTTTCCTGCCCAGTCTGGCTTTGAACTGCCATGCTCAGATCTCAGCCTCCAGGGTAGCTAAGATTACAGGTGTGAGCCACCAGCGCCCAGCTTATTATGGTTTTGAGCTGAAGTTCATGAAACATAAAATTATGACCCATTGTTTTATAGATGTATATATGTGTATGTGTGTGTGGTCGTGTATATTTAAACACATTATAACTTAAATAGAAGCTATGTATTTACATTATCACACTTGGCTAATGTGTGAAGCAGGATGGTTTCATGTGTTACACTACTACAAAAAAGAAAATGAGGTATTAATGTTCAATTCCTTCTAGGCAACAGGAAAAGGAATAAAATAGCAGAAGACCATCACTTATCTTTGTGCTTAGTGACCTTTTTGTGGTTTGTGTGTGTGTGTGTGCGTGTGTGCCAGGTGTGTGCCAGTCCTGGTGCTTATCCTCAGGGCTTCTTTGCTCAATGCTAGCACTCTAACATGATCCTCAGATCTCAGCCTCCTGAGTAGCTAGGATCATAGGCATGAACCACTAATGCCTGGCCAGACCTTTTTGTTTTTGTTTTTGATTTTGGAGACTGTCTAGAATGATCTGACATCAGTGAGAATGTTTGCAAGTTGCTGACATTAGGAGATTTATATTTGATTTTTTAATTTGTTTGAAAATAACTTCAAAATTATAGAAAAGTGGCAAGAATAGAACACAACTATTTAAAATTAAATTATACTTGTGCCTATGTCTTTAAATACTTCCATGTGTTGTTCTCCCAAACATAGCCATTCTCTTACCATCATTCCAGCATAATTTTCAAATTCAGGAAGTTTAACTTTGATACACTGCATTTAGCTATTATCCATATTGTAGACACAATACTGCTATTTGTAGCATTTCCCCCCCTAGAAAATATCATAAATCATGTTTCATTTTTATATCTCTCCAGGCTTGTAGTCTAGGAACAGTTTCTTGGTTTTTATTTTTATTTTGTGAGATTAACATTTTTGATGGTTTCAGATGCATGTTTAAAAATAGAATGTTCTGCATTTAGAGTTTGAATTTTTCTGTTAGATTTTAGTTACTGTATCTGTTGTCAGAATATTACATAAAGAATGTCATGTCTTTCTCAAGATATAGCATCTAGAGAGTTAAGTATAAAAGTCTTTAGCCATCCATCCATTCATGCATCCATCCATCCCTCTCACAACCCATCAGAATATGTACCAGTGTTATATTTGTTGCGAAAAAAAAGAGAACTGAGAAGGTGGCTCCGTGGTAGAATGCTTGCCTTACAAGCATGAGGCCCTGGGTTCGATTCTTCAGCACCACATAAGCAAAAAAAGCCGGAAGTGGTGCTATGGCTCAAATGGTAGAGCACTAGCCTTAAGCTGAAGAGCTGAGGGACAATGCCTAGGCCCAGAGTTTAGGCCCCATGACCAGTAAAAATAAAAAGTAAATAAAAATAAGATACTTGATCTACCATTGAAGAATAAGTTTTTCCCTGTAAAAGTGAATCTTAAATGCAAGATGTATTAAATATTACTCCCTAATCCCAGAGTATGAGGTACAAAAATGAAATATTAAGTATACATCCTCACTGTACTTATAATACCCAAGTTACATTTCAAAATATTACTTTGTGAAAGATAGGAATTGAGTTTTCCTTTTTAGCAAGAGTTCTATAAAAATCTATGAAATTTTATTTCATATAGGATGGAAGAGAGAAGAGGTTGACAAAGAGCAAGATGAAAAGATGCCTTTACTAGAAACAGAAGAAAAGCCAGAGTTGGAAACTGGACAGTGCCAAATGGAAATATATCAGCTTCAACAGGTTGACAAATTGGAAGAAGAGGAAGAAGAAGTCAAGAGGGAAATGCTCCTTGCTAAGATGAACCAAATCAACAAAAGACTCCAAGATTCTCAGACCCCCCGGAGACATCATTCTGCACCCTTGTTCCCTGAGTTGGAAACAAAACTGTGCGCCCTGGTGAGAAGCACTAAAGCAAACGTGTCCCCTGAACCCTCTGAGAGATCGTTCAATGGACATCATTTGCAGGACATCGGCTTTGCAACACCAAAAGGAGATGCTCTGAATTCAGGAAACATTAGAAGTCCAGCATCTCCAAATGACTTTTCATTTGGGAGTTACGTGCCTTCATTTGTAAAAATGTCAGGGAAGTCCAATCCGTGTAGCCAAAAAAGTAGCCTTGTAGATTTGCCAAAAGACAGTATGGATAACTCCAGTAAAGGTGGTGTGGACTTAATGGCAAGAAAGGAGAGAAAAGCTCACTTGATGGAGCAACTATTTGGCGCCCCGTGTAACCAAAAAAGTAGCCTTGTAGATTTCCCAAAAGACAACACAGATAACTCCAGTAAAGATGGTGTGGACTTAATCGCAAGAAAGGAGAGAAAAACTAACTTGATGGAGCAACTATTTGGCACCCCATGTAGCCAAAAAAGTAGCTTTGTAGATTTGCCAAAAACCAATATAGATAACTCCAGTAAAGGCAGTGTGGACTTAATCACAAGAAAGGAGAGAAAAGCTAACTTGATGGAGCAACTATTTGGCACTACTCCCAGCAGCTCCATTTCTGCAAGGGGCAGCGACCCAGGCTCTCTGCCTACCAACAAAGGGGACTGTGACCCTCTGAATTTTTGCCCAGGGGAGAAAAACAGCAGGGTTAGAGAACAGGATGAAGATGAAGACTTCCTCCTTGGTGAAGGAAGAAATTTTAATCCAAATAGACACCGATTGAAACATGCAAATAATAAGCCAACTCTGAAAGCATTTGATTATGTAGAAGATGAAATTGAAGAAGTAACACTGAGATGATGAATTATATATTTGTTTCAATTGTAAATATTAAAGTATTTTAATACAGTATTATAAACCTCTAGACTTTTACTATTAAAACTTTCTTATTGTGGAATGATTTTTGTAGCTAAGTTATAGTACAATTAAAAAGTAGATCATATTGACCCACATCGCTAGTTTGAGAGAATACCAGGGGCTCTTTTGAAAGAAATCAAAAATAGAGATGTCTCTAACATGGTTTTGCATTTGCGAATTTACCTCTTACACCAGCTCTATGGGCAGTTTAACTTCCCTGAAAGTCACCGTTCATTTTCTACTTTTACCCCTATTTATTATTGTTCAGATTTTCACTGAGCTAACTGTACTTTTCTCATTGATTGTTGAGTGGAATTGAACGGAGCAAATCTGTGGTGGGGAATCTGAACCCTTACTTTATGGACTCGGACGCAGTCCCTGTCCTGGGAGGCCAGGCTGAGCTGCTCAGGAATGACAGCGGTGACTCATTCCTCTGCAAGTACCACAGTTCACACCACCCACTCTCAATCTCATCTCTGAAGCTGCTCACCTGCAGCACTGCGAGCACCTCAGGCTGGTCTCAGATGCCTTTTTGTTTGTGTGGATTGTCCCCTTGCTGCGACTCCTGTGTGATTCCTGTCCTTACTCTAATACATTCTTAGTATCTCAATGGCTGAGTGTAAGACTTCATACCAAATGACAAGCCATCGAAGAAATTGCATCTCAGTAGAGAAAGATTTTTCAACCCTATTATGTTTCCAAGGTAGCATACTTTGGAAATTTTAACACGTTCTTTTAAGATTTGAACTTGTCCCCATACCAAAGAGACTTTCAGGACCAGGGTTCAAGTAGCCTTTGATCGAAGTGTTTGAGACTTGGGGATTCTGCCCTACTGGGTAAGGCAGATAATTTTCTGTTGAAATGCACTGGTTTCCTTTCAGCTATTTGTAGTTCACTTCAGCTGCAAAGGAATGTGTGGGATATGGCTGGTCTTGAAGAAGCAATAATGTGCCACCAGCCAACAAGTAGGCACTGTTGAATGAAGAGTGACAGCACTTGTCCAGAAGGAAAGCCTAGAGGTTGGAACTTTAGAATACTAAGAGGAGCTGTTTGAACTGGCTGTTTTTGCTCATGGTTGGATTTCTGATGCCAATCATATATCCTGATGAGGGGCAAGAGTTGGTATTTTATCTGCATTTCTTTAAATGCTTATTAATTAATCTTATGGCTAGTTGATAAGGCTTACCCAATCAAACCTCCAATTAAAACATATTGCTTGACATCTATTAAATGGTGTTCTTGTCATTTATTAGGAACAGAATCTGGAAGATAGGCCATATTGGGCCTAGAGATAAGCACATCCTGCAGTGAGCCAGAGGCCAGCAAGTATCAGGTGTGCAGGCATGCAGGTGTCAGGTGTGCAGGTGTCAGGCGTGCAGGTGTCAGGTATGCAGGTGTCAGGTATGCAGGTGTCAGGTGTGCAGGCATGAAAGTGTAGGTGTCAGGCGTGCAGGCATGCAGGTGGCAGGTGTGCAGGTGTCAGGTGTGCAGGTGTCAGGAGTGCAGGTGTCAGGCGTGCAGGTGTCAGCTGTGCAGGTGTCAGGTGTGCAGCTGTCAGGTATGCAGGTGTCAGGTGTGCAGGCATGAAGGTGTGCAGGTGCGCAGGCGTGAAGGTGTGCAGGTGTCAGGTGTGCAGGCATGCAGGTGTCAGGTGTGCAGGTGTCAGGCGTGCAGGTGTCAGGTGTGCAGGTGTCAGGCGTGCAGGTGTCAGGTGTGCAGGTGTCAGGTGTGCAGGTGTCAGGCGTGCAGGTGTCAGGTGTGCAGGTGTCAGGTGTGTCAGGTGTGCAGGTGTCAGGTATGCAGGCGTGCAGGTGTCAGGTAAGCATGTGTGCAGGTGGCAAGTGGCAGGTGTGCAGGTGTCAGGTATGCAGGTGTCAGGTGTGCAGGTTTCAGGTGTGTCAGGTGTCAGGTATGCAGGTGTCAGGTGTCAGGTGTGCATGTGTGCAGGTGTCAGGTAAGCATGTGTGCAGGTGTCAGGTGTGCAGGTGGCAGGCATGCAGGCCTACAGGTGTGATCTGAGGAGGAAGCTGTGGGCCCAGCACTTCTGGTCACATCCATTCTCACTGTGGAAACTTCTCCTTCCATTTCAACAGCTTCCCCATTCCATAAACAAATGCAGCCGCTCTCCTTCCCACACACTGGCTTTGAGGCTCCCTGAAGACCAGGGAGGTTTCCGGGTGTCGGGAACAGCTGCCCTGTGGCGGGCGGCTCCTGGGTCCTGTGGCATCACTCACAGCAACGGGATGTGAGTCTGACTCCACTCCTGGGGTGGGGGTGGGGTGGGGAGTGCAGTCCTGCGGCTCCGCCCTCCAAGGCTCTTCATGGAATGTGGGCTTTCTGCTGTCACTTCACAACCAACTGCCCAGACCCAGAGGTAAAGGAGCTCCCTCGTTCACCTGGCTGCCTCTTTGAAACGAGGGAAGGACAATTCCGAGGAAAACCAAAACTGTTCATTATTATCATTCCAGTCCCTCTCCAGGAGAAATGAAAGTAAAATGCCTTGGCGAATTATTCTTCCCTTTCATCAGGTACTGTGGAGCGCACAGTATGGATTTAGGAAAGATGAAGGAAACCTGAGAAACGCATCTGCTCTACAGCTCCCAGAAAATCCTCTGCTCCACCTCCCAGGTTTAAGAATTCAGTAGGCTTCACCCTGAGATGAGAAAAAGATACAGAGACAGACAGACAGACAGACAGAAAGCATGCTGAGAATTAAAGGTCAAGGATTCAGACTTCTCCACAGAAGAAATTTGTGATGACCCTTAAGAACTTCAGTGGGTCTCTTGCAAAAGTGGAGAGCCATCCTGTTTGTCCTTAAACCTAATTAAATATCACCACTTCCTGTCCAGTCCTCTTCCTACCCCAAATATTCTAACTCATTTCACACCTGAGATTTTTTTTCCTCCTGAGCTGCTGTTTTTAAGTCATTTTAAGAACTTGACATTAAAATATAGTTACATGATGGAGAAATACTTTTAAAACTTGCTCAGTAGGAATTTTTTTTAATAGTGAGGTTTCCAAAATTGCACACTTCAAAGGATGATTTTCTGAGCTGTGTGTAACTGAATAGCCCCATCAGTCACCTGACAAAATGACATGAACTCTTTCAGCCCCTCCCCTGGGTAGCTACCATTTAGGAATAAATGAATGGATTATACCTCATACAACCATATTTTAAAACAGTATATATTAACAAGCAAGGCTGTTGAGTAGTCTTTGGTTTGTGAGATTATAGTCACGGTGACTAGAATACAGAAGATTCTCATTTTTATAGAAAAGAAAAGGCCAAATGGGGAATCTGCCTCCAGGATTGCTTAAAAAAATTCAGACCACAGATCAATGCAGACCGTGATCAAGGTCCCGAGCCTGGTTTCCATACAGCAGGAATTGGACTCCTGGTCCCCCATGCTTTCCTGCTGCTGCCAGATGTGTCTGTCCAGTCGTTTTTCATTTCCTCTGTCCATTACCTGCTGGCACACCACTGCCACCTCGTGGTTCTTGGTGGTCATTGCTATTTATGCAGAAAGGCCAGAATGGGAAAAACCTCAATTAATTTCTCTTTAAAACTCATTAAGAATCTATCATGGGCTAGGAGTGTGGCTGAGTGGTAGAGTGCTTGCCTTGCATATATGAAGCTCTGGTCTCCGTTCCTCAATACCACATACGCAGAAAAAGCCAGAAGTAGCAATGTGGCTAAGTGGTAGAGAGCTAGCCTAGAGCAAAAAAAGAAAAGAAAAGAAAACCTCTAGCCCCAGGACTGTCAGAAAAAAAAAAGAAAAAAGGGAGGGAGGGAGGAAGGAATGGAGGGAGGGAAGGAAGAAAGAAAAAGAAAAAAGGAAAGAGAAAGAACAAAGATGCAATCCAACATTCTGCTCAGAATTGCATTTGTGCTATCTTCTTTAATCATCACAGCACTATGAACTGGGCATTTTTGTCCATGAAGAGAGAAGGCTGAGAGATGAATTCTAAGATTTTACACAGCTTTGTTCCAGGTGGCATGGCTGGAGCTTGTCCTTCCCTCCATCCGGCCCGATGTCTGTCTTTCCCTCCATCCAGTCCGATGTCCTGTCTTGCAGCTTTGGTCTCCTGATGCCTGTGCAACCCTTTCTGACCTGAGCTGTTCCCAGGTTGCAGCAGCAAACCCAAGGTCACCAGGAAGACACACCCACAAACATCTTTGCAAGGCCAGGTAAGGGAGAGAGAGCAGGCGCATTTCCACTATGAAACCAGCAGTCAGTACAGCTCATGCCTAGAAGCCGCTTGGGCTGCACCGTAGCTGTGAGTCATCACTGAGCAGGAAAACTAAGAGATGGAACAAAACTGGAGCTGCTGATGGGCCTGTTGGGGATGGAGGGATGGCATGCCAATGCCAACCGTGTTTGAAGCCAGCTCCTGAGTTTTGGTTTGTCCTGTGGACCAGCCCCAGTCAGAGATAGGTTTTCTGTCTTGGGCTGAAAAGTCTGACTGGTCCCAAGGGCTGCCCTTCTGAGCCTTCTTCCCTGTCCACCAGCAACAAGTAAGTATTTGCATGGTGTTCCTGCTCCCAGGACACAGCTGGTTTCCTGCACCTACTCTTTTCTTCTTGTAGTGAAAGACTTAGTAAGAGCCTCATTGGAAAATATTTATGATGTTAAAATCAAGTGTGCACGTAAGTTACAATGTAAAAGGAACTCCAGCATCTTTTATTTCTTGTTGTAAGTACCAGCCTCTCAAGTGCAGTTGGGAAGCTGACCATCAAAAGCAATCATTCTTTCAGAGTCTTGGGGCTGGTGACAGCGCCGCTATCTACCCCGAGTTCGCATGTTGTTATGGCTTGGAGGAAGACAGTGGATTTTGCCAAGAGAGACACACACTTTCGGGACTGTCACACGTTCATTCAAGTCAAGGTAAAGACACACAAATACATTGGGAAAAGTAGCCCTTCAAAACATTTTTTTAATGAT